TGCATCGCCAGTGATAAAACAAATTAAAATTTGTGAGCGAAAAAAATTGGGTCTTTTTTTACGTAATCAAATTTCAAATATTCAACTCGAAAAAAATAGAAGTGAGAAGTTATAAATGTATCGCAAGCCGTAGTGGGCTGATAGCTTTCGCTTAAGTTGATAGATACTAATTCCACACCAGGCTCGCACCGACCAGTTTAAAGAAATTATAGTTAAAAATATTGTTCTGAAGAAAGTCTCCAAAATAATGTTTGATACAAAAAAATAGACTTATTTGAAATTTGGGTGAAAATATTTCTTGAATAAGTTATCAACAGAAACACGTGGATTAAATGCGCAATGAGGACAACAAATGTATACATAAAAAGATAGTTTAATGTACCCCACTTATTGTTTATCTACATGTTGGTGATTTTTTAAGAACTTGACATTTTAAAATCACAAATTCTTAAAAACAAAAAGAGCTTTGAAAAATCTATTAAAAAAAATCGTACATACTTTTTTTAATGCACTTAACAGGAAGAAAATAAAGGGAGCTAGCTTTAACGATTTTGACTTTTATGTCAATTTTCTGGTTCAGAAAATGCCAGGAGAGTGACATTTTGTATGTATATAAAGTCTGCTACTAAGTTCTAAAAGCAGATTTAGGCTTAAGAAAGTCTATTAGAATCATTATTACATCTTCTATTAGAATCATTGCAAATAATAATATGTATTGTTTTGTAAAAAAAATTGTATGTTTCATAGAACTGTTGCACAGGAGAATAATTGTAGAAGTTGTTATCTTCCACTACTCAGTTTAGAACTTCAAAGCTATAATATTAACATCAAGTGAATCAGATCTTTAAAACACACCAACAGAATAGTGGGAATAAACAATGCTGAAAAAGACTAACGATTCTTTATTTGTTATTAAAATAATAGAAAAATTCTCTGGGGCAAGGGAACATGAAAACCGAGGGACGAATTTGGTGAATTAAATAATTAAACTTATTCAAGAACTATTATTTTACACCTTCAAATCTACATAGTTTAATAATATTATTTTAATTATTAAAATTTTGGTATAAAATTTTGAATAAATTAAATAAGTTTAAGAAAATTTTTGGATAGACCAGAAGAGTATTTTTTAGGTAATTTTAAATTTTTTTAGGAAATAGTAAAATCTTCCTTTTTATATGATTAGACATAAGAAACATTTTGTCTTAAATATATATAAAAAAAATAACTTTCTGTCTTAAGCCATCATTATTTGGACAAGATCTTGTTATGTTCTGGAATATTCACAAATATGGAATAGATCATATAGTCAAATGTTAAATTAGTTGGCTCTTAATGTTAATCTTTTTAAGACATTTTTCTAAAGTAGATTTTATTTTAGGAAATAAGTCTTTTTATTGCTTTCATGTCTTCCAAATAACTTTTTACAAAAAATGACTCCAGCTTTTTTCAGAGAAGGAAAAGTTCATGCACGGTAGGTGATTTTTATTTTATTTTATAACCGTCGTCGAACAGCCGACCCAATTAGGGGTTTAAGACTACTAATGTTCAAGTCGGTAGCCTTGAAAATCCAGGATCTAGCTTTAGGAAAAATTTGTCTTCGTGGAGGGCTTTTTGAGGAAACTAACCCGCATTTGCGTTACATGGAGAGGAAAACTATTAAAACCTTCCACTGTTAGCCTGAAGGCAAGGTTTCTCTAACTTAAGGGCTATGATCCGTCAACCACTGAGGATATTTTACGTCAGCTCTGTGGTCAGATCGAACCGGGTTCACCTCATTGGAAGGCAAACGCTCTCTCATCTGAACCACCACGGCTCACGGTAGGTTACTGGGAAGTGTGGTATAACGGCTTTATGGTTACGATCCTCGTCTGCCCTCCGATCTAAATAGCTGTATTGTAGTGTGCGCATGGGCCATTAATGTCTTTGGATTGCCATTTAGGATAAATTCCAGAACATCGCCAACAGTTCATTAGTGTAGCTTTAATGCTACGTCAACAACCAAACAATCTCTTGTACGTCTTTTGTGATTGATAATTTTCTTGTAAGAGTAATAATGTTAGATGGCACTTATGACAGCTTTAAATGATAACATTTATCTGCTACCTGACTGAACAATGATGAGTCTATCTCAGCAAATTTTATTTTCAAAATAATGTCGAAAAATTATGCTAAAGTGTTGAGTTGAATAGTTTAATGTTACAAATTTCTATCTAGTTAAAATATTTGCTTATTGATAAATATTTTTTTTTATCACTTTGATCATTTTTTTATCACTTTCATCATTTTTTTATCATTCATTTTTTTATCATTTTTTTATCATCTTCATCATTTTTTTATCATTCATTGCATTCAATTAAATCAAAATTTATTATTTTAATCATTTAATTTTTGAGTCACTTTTCTTTTTAAATTTAAATCATTTTTATAATTTTTGTAGGAATGAACTAATTGCTAAAATGCAAAAGTTATTTGTGTAAATTTTTATTTTAATTATGTATTATACATTATTTTAATATTTGCATAGTTAATCAGTATGTATGTTCGAGAATATTTTTCCTAAAGTACAGTTAAATATCATGTAAATAAGTAAAATATAACTTACATGAAGTTGTTAAAGGAATAATAAAAATCGATATTCTCTTAAATCAAGTTTCAATATATTTGTAATTTTTTGCCACATTAGTTTACAACTTTCAAGAAAAACTTTTACAGATTTAAATTTGAATTGGTTAGAATTCTTTTCTGACAAATATTTGGTTTTGTAAAAGAAACTGATTTTGAAGGTCCAGATACTTACTGATAATGAAATACTCTTATAAAGTTAGTGACAAACTTCCCCTTTACTCTGATATTGCGCCAATACCTTAGAAAGAAATGCTAACCTTTTGAAAAAGCTTTTCTTCGAATTCTGTTGAAGAATTTTAGCATTAAGGACAGCTTCGGGCTCTTAACAACACAATAAGAGTACAGGCTTCTACCAGAAAGAGATTTCTTGAATAATAGATGAAATGCAAAGCATGTGGTACAGCTCCAAACGAATTCTATCAAGAAAATATTTATTCTGGACATCTTTGTCTATCAAATAATGAAGAAAGGATTTCAAAAAATATCCAGAAGCTAGAAAGATTGTTTCAAGTTCTTTCCTCATTCGAATAAAGACTCTATTCTGATGCTCTACCCCATTTTAATTTTCTAAACCAATTTATATATATATATTTTTAAAAATAATCTCCTGTAACGGAAAATGCAATTTTTAATTAAAAATGTGTAGCTTTGAAGAATTATTTATTTTCAATAAATCTATACTAAAAGTTACTTGAATCAAACTTTTAACCTTTAAATAATGGAAAAAAAATAATACTTAAAAATGTCTAACTTATAAGTAAAACAAACTCAAATTTGCGATAAGAAGAATTTTTCTGAAGTTCCATAAATCAAAATTAATTACTTTTTATAATTTATTTTTAAATATTATATAAAATATATGCATCATAATTTTTTGTATTTTAATATAATTTTTCGATATATTACTACACGACTTGGACATGAATGTTGTACATGCACTTACCTCTAATAATAAGATGTATATTTACCATGAAACTGTCCAAAACTTTACTTGAATCAAGCTTCTAATCTTTTATATAAATTTCCCATTACATTAAAAAATCCTGCCAACTAGAATTAAATCTATTACATATTTACATAAGCAATAACTTTGCGAAATCTTAAAATATTATTTTTTAAATTTTATTCCACATGTTGTCGAATGTATTGGACAATGCATCTAAGGAGGGGAACCAACATACTGTCAAAATCATTTATTTAATTTTCCGTATTTATTTAATTATTCACGCGAATAATTAAATAAATACGGAAAATTAAATAATTTCCGTATAAAGTCTATTTCAAGCATTGTGATAAAGTCTATTTCAAGCATTTTTTGAGCAGTTGCGGTAATACAAAGACTACTAAGACTACAAAGAATACTAAGTCCTGTCTTAGGTTGTGTAAAATGTGATTATTCGGACTCGTAAATAGAAAACAGGCATTAGTTTATGACATCTTATATTAGCTGGACTCTTATAAAACATCGATATTTTGTCCAAAAGATCCAAACGATGCATTTGGATTTAACGGATTAAACTATACTCACAAGGAAAACTACCGCAGTATTACTGGGTTATCCCGTGGATTTTGAGAGGATTTACTAGCGTATAACTGAAAGGAACTGTGTCATTAAACACTGTTAGAAACTTCTAGGAAAAAATGGTTGAATAACAATTTATTGATAGTCATTTCACAATATTTAATCAAAACAGTCAAATAACCGTAAATAAAATGGAAATCAAACTGTTAAGTTTGAGAAAAATTGTTTATTAACTACTTTCGCCTTATACGGTTAAACAACCAGAATTTTAGAGCACCAACTAGAACCACCTGCTGAAGGTACTTAGTTCTGCACACCTGTGTACAGATCATAGCCGCCGAGTGGGCTTAACTGTAAATTTCATGACCGGCGGAACTGGAATTCGAGTCATCGTGTTGACACCACAAAATTTCCTCCATTCCCTTCAGCACACGAAGAATTTCTAGTCTCCGACTCCCTTCAATGCCCATTACCTCATGAAAAGTCTAGCTTCTATGTCTCGTTAAATAATTATTTTATTTTAATACGTTTGTGAAAAATGCAAACTGTAAATGATTTGAAAACCGTATAGTTTTGTATAAATGGTTTTATAACCATGTTTTTTGTAAATGGTTTCAAAACCATAAAGGAAAAAAATGTTTTTTTACCGTAAACTTTACGGTTAATCGAACAGACTGCTGCTCGTTATTTTACCGTAATTTTAGAATGAAAATTTTAACAGTGAATGTGATAGTTCTCGGTAAAACAGAGTTTTTCTTTAATTATTAATTAGATCTTTTTCTCAAATTTTAAAATTAATTCTTGTTTTAATGAGAAGTTTAGTAATGGTAGTTTATTTACGTCAATCTAGAGTTGCAGAAGAACGTCGGAATGAACAGAGGCTGATCATGATCTACAACAGTGTTTATTCTCTACCCGATTCAATCGAAGGACAGGTAAAATATTTTTAGTGTTTAATCATGGACGAGTAATTTCAACAATTGGTATAGTTTTTGCATTTACAAAACTGTGGTACTTATTTGACCAGAAACAAACTGGTTAAAACTAGTTTGTTTCTGATCATTCACATACTATTTCTGCAACAGAAAGAAAATGTAAACCTTTTTAAATATAAATAAAATTTAAATAAGCTTTTAACTCAAATAAAATAAAAATATAAATAAAATTTGAATATAAATAAAATTTGAATGTAAATAAAATTTGAATTTAAATAAAATTTAAATTAAAATAAAATCTTAATTAAAATAAATATATAATTAAGATAAAATATTAATTAAAATAAATATATAATTAAAATAAAATATTAATTTTGTTATTGAAATAAAAAAAATAGCGAAACAAAATTATACTACCATGAGTAAGTGGCGAAAGAATTCAAGTCAATGCGAAATAAATGAAAAAAGCATTTAAAAATTAAATAACTTAAATTTATATGATGTATGTAGTTGACTAACATGTCAATTCCAGATACCAAAACCCTTAACAGCAACACGTAAAACAGGGACGAGATTTTTTGTATAAAAAAAACATTCATTACCCAAAAGGTAGTATCACATAAATAAGTTGGAAAAAAAGACAATATTATTTTCTTTGTATTGAATTGTGATTTTAACCTTAGTTCTGAAAATTGTTCAGTTAATTCCCCTTACTCTTTAGTGGTGGGATTGCTGACCGGTAGTAGAAAAACGATGATCTACAAGGTAAAACAAGCTTATTAATTCATTCATTGTGACTAATTGCGGTTTATATTTTATTCTTGTATTTTTATGTATCCTAAAAGGGATTCTTCCAACTGTTATTCGTTATCACTCATTTGACATTTATTATGTGATCCTTTATTTTTTTTCAGAACCATTTATTTTTAAAAATTTATAATTCTAGAACCATATAATAACTTTATATCATGACAGTACCTTCTTTGCCAGCAATTCAAAAACCAATAATTATATGTTCTTTAATTAGTTAATGAAAATAAACTGCAGTGTATCGCTATGCTTTCAATTTTAAGAAGTACTAAACTTACTCTAAGACCGATTCCATCTGGCAGAGGTAAAATATTATATAACTACCACATCATGATATTTTTTGTCCTCATAATGAAACCATGTGAATGAAGGCCGAATCGAGAGAGAGCATTTTCAACTTTCGTTTCTTCTTGTTATTTCAATGGAAGAAAACCGATGCTGGAAATTTAAGTAGTCCATGAATCTTAAGATTTGGTCGTTTATTATGCCACATTTGGTAGCATGCAAAAATTTGTTAAAGACCTTAAACATTTTATGCAGAAGTTAATTTATCACTTTTTGGAATAAAAAATGTTTTATTTATTGTACAAATAAATTTTCAAAATGTTCTTCTTTTCTTTAAAACATCATATTGTTCCCGATTGTTCCATATTATTTATTCTAAAATCCAAGTGTATATTTTGAATAGCATCTTACATGTAAATATAAACAAATAAGAACACAACTAAACCATAAGTGATTAGATACGTAGATAAGTGATTAGATTCATTATGAATACATAATTTTTTTTTCTTTTTAATTTCAGTGCTAAAACGTAGAAGGCGAGTTTCCGTGACATTGTTGTTTCTTTCCTTCTTTGTTTATTTTCTTACTATACATATTTTACTCTCTATAATACTTTTAAAAGAATAATTTTTTCAATATTATTTAAATTTCAGCTGCTTGCTTTGAATTAATTGAGCTAATAAAACACATTTTCTTTCACAGAAAAGGTTTATGAATTATTATTACAAAATTGTTCAATAAATAGGGCAACGTTTCTTTACACATAATTATAAGTTCTATAATAAAATCATTAGATCTTTTTAAATTGAAATCGTCTGTTTGTGATCTTTTTAATTACAATAATACAGGATAAAATTGAGAACTCTGAAAGTGGTATTAAAACTGTTCAATCTTATTATTGTACGAGTTAAGTTTAAATAAAATCGGTAAGATTTTTGAAGATTTTTTAAGCAAATGCAGTTTTTTTTAATTATCAAGTTTTATTTTTCGACCAATCAAAAATTACTTCCAAATGTTTTGAAAAACTCCAAATACCTAAAAAGATATCAAAGATTTTTCAAGATGCAGTACTATTATGAAACCTATGTTAGATTAAAACTTAAACTCATTTCTCATGTGCTTCATTATCGATATATCAATAAGAAATTTATTGTACAGGGTTGCAATAAAATAACCCCAGATGTTTCAGAAAACTACTGAATCAAATTGATTTAAGTAAGAGTGTGTTTTACAGATTAAGTGAGGAAGAGCATATTATGTCTTGCTTTTACAATTATTTAACAAATTTTATTTATCTAAAAATAATTCTATTTTTTATCTTTCACATTGGTTCAGTATTAATTATTTACTTCATAAAATTTAAGTTTAAATCAATGAACTTACATAAATGATTTGAATTTATTCATTTATTGATTTTTTTTTGCTAAATTTTTTAATATGTTCTCAGGATTAAAAAATTATGAGTTAATGATTTTTTTTTGCTTTTTACTTTTTAATATATGAGCTAATTACGCTTAAGAAACATGTTGAATTAAATTATTTTGAAAAATTACATGAAAATAAAAAACAATATTGAATAGTTTTAACGATTGTTTATTACATAAAGATTTAATGTCTTTTTTGAGTCATTGTTATTGATAAGTATTAAAATACTTAATTAAATTGTAAAAGTTGCATGATTTTTCAAATGTATTTGTTAATCGATCATGATTTTTTAATTTACTATCTAAAACTTATTTAATTTGGAATATTTTATTCTATTTTTTCTATGTGATTAAATTTATAATTAATTAAACATTGAACGGTTTAATTAATTAAAATAATAAATTTGACTATTCAATGAAGACTTTTTTGTAGGAACTGAAGAAGAAAGTGGGTCAATAAAATAGAAAAATGACAGATGAGAATAAACTTAACTACACTTGATAGTAAGTATTGAATCTCTTTTAAACTTTCACTTATCATTATCTTAAATTTAAGAAAGAATTGTATGTCTTACGTTGTTTTGAAGCTATAATTTATTCTCAAGAGATATAATATAACATTTGCCTAAAATTAATATATTTAAAGAAAAAAATTAGTAATGAAATTTCTAAAAAACTGTAAAGAATGACAAAAATTAAATACTAAAAATTATTATAAATTAAATAAGCATATTAAGTTTTTTCAGTGATAACAATTAATTACTTCTTATTTAAAAAATCATTGAAAAAAATTTGTAAAAATGTCTGATAAATATTGTATATGAACTCATTTTATTTCTAAAAAAAATAATAGACAAACTTGTTTGAAAAATTCCCCAGTGAAATTATCTGTTTATTGTAGAAACCACTTAAGAATGAAATGACGCTGAGTGAAAATATTTTTCTTAATTTAACTAGAGATTCGAGTATGTTCCACTGTATTTACTACTAGCAAGTGTGTCGCCATCTTTTGAAAAGATTTTTAACTATTTAAAAAACCTTCCTAATTAGTATTTATGCGGCTTAAAAAAAATAACATGGGCAACATACCATACTACTGTTAATTTCTGCAATCAACTGTTAAGTCAACTGATAATATCTGGAGTTAATATCTGCGATCAATTCATGCCAAAAATTATAATTTGAACTCAGGAGGAAGTTTGTCACAATCTTTGTGAAAAACTTGCTAAGAAATGATTAATAGCTTCTTTTTTTTGCATAAATTTAATTTTTCTCAGACAACGATCTTTAAGAACTTTTTATTGTTCACTTATGGTGGTGAACATTTTAATTCGCTTTTTTTTAGAAACATTTATTCAGTCAATTATTTGATAAATAAATTTCTTTAATTTCAAGTTTAAATTTCAAATAAAATCCTGAGTCACAATAATTTAAGCTAAGGATTCAATATCAATACCTTTTGAAAATTAGTTAAGTATTTTCTCACAAAAAATCTTCTCAAATTTTAAATATTTCAACAGCCAACCCTTCGGAAAAGAATTGTAGGTTTAATGAAATATCATAATGATAATAATAATGTTTAAGACATGAAATTATTAAAAATAATTATTTGAAAACAGTGTGATATCTATTGAAAGTATCGCGATATTAAAATTACTTAATTAGTTATAATTTCAAAAATTTTAAAAAAGGTACCCATTCTCATTCCGGAGTGTTTCTAATCATAAAAAAACAACATTTTTTTATTTTTTAGACTTATTCATTTTCAAGAATCTTTGTTTTTTTGTGTGCTTTGAATTCAGCTAAATTAAATTTTTTACCATCAATAATTTTTGATCTCATGGTCAGATTTTCACTCTGTAAATGTCATGAAACTATTTGTTTTCCTCTAACTAGAGCTGTAAATATTCATTAATAAAAAAAATATTTATTTTAAATAAATCAATGAAGCAACGATTTAGAAAAGTTATTTCAAAATTTGTATTGGAACTATCTCGAATTTGTTTTTATATATTGAATAATATTTTGTTGTATTATATCGAATACATTTGTTTCTCTTTAGGATCTGATAATTAAACATTTGGAATACGTTTGAGAAAAATTGTGATGCCATAAGCCATTAAACACAATATGACTCACTGCCATGAAAGTATTATGGTGCATCAAGTTATAAAATGCCATATGATTCTACGATTTCATAAAAACATTATGATGCCACGATTTCATAAAAACATTATGATGCCACAGTGTTATAGAAGTATTCTGATGTCAAAATTTATGAAATGCCATGTGATGTAACTACAACATAAAATCATTGTTATGTTTCCAGTCATAATGAATGAGAGCATATTTTTTAGGGAAGTAAGAAACCCTTCAATAATGTAAAATTCGAATATTTTTTAAATATTTAACTAAATGCATAATGAAAGTTTTCTTATTTTCATGTTATAAAATAATCATATTTCCATTTCATATTTTGTAATCTTTTTTCAATTGAAGAGTTCTTTTTTGTTCCATTTATAAAATTTTTACATTATTGTTAAGTTTTTGTATTTCTTAGAGAAACTTATATTTTATTATTTATACTTAAAGTGAATAAAAACCCTGAAAATATTTTGAATTTAGAGAGATATTTTCTCTTTACTACTGTCGCTTTCATTTCTGATTGCTTGTTTTAACAGGGAAAAAAATTTTTATATAAAATCATGATTAATGTTAAAAAAATTTCTGCTACATTATGTATGTTTATTATTCATAAAAGTTGCCTTTTAAACAATTGTTTGAAACATTTTATAAATTCTACCTAATAAACGATTGTTAAAAAAAGTTTCTGTAGCATTATTTATGTATGTTTATTATGCACAAAATATGCTTTTTTATAGCAATAAACATATTATTTACTGATTGCATATTTTATTGATTCTTATAATGCATATAAATATTAAAAGTAAGCAGCATCATTAACACCAAAAAAACATTTCTGGATATAAGGCTATTTTTTAATAATCAAGTAAATATGAATGTTTAGTAATTTTAAAATTAAGAGATAAAAAATACGGATTTTGAATTTATATATAAATAAAATTACGCATTTTTATGCATTAAATGAAAACGTTTTCTAGTTATTCTTGATAGCTGTTCTATATTTCAAGAAAACATGAGAAAAGATATTATTTGAAAAAATAACGATAATATAGAATGATATTTTTAAAAAGTGAGATTTTGAAATACTATGTATGGCATGTATTAAATATTACTTTGAAAACGCTTATTCGAGAAAGAATAAATGGAGAAAATGGAGCGTAAATGTAATTTTAAAAAATTTATCGTAAATTCTGCCTTTTACTGAAAGCCATAAGACGTTTGGGTGAAATTGTTTCTTTCGAAGCAGCCAAATAACTTGTTGATGAAGCTTAAAAAATATCTGTTGCACCTGCATCAAAAGCTGAAATAATGGTAAAAATTGGTTTTTATTGTAGCTGATATTATAAAATTAGAATTTATATTTATTTTTTTGCCTTATGCTCATAGCTGTAAATCGTTTTACATTATTTTGAAATAATTGTGGCTTAAATTTGTATATATAAGTAGCATAATTCAAGATAGACGGCGTTAAATGCCTTAGCATATTTCGATCACGTATGGAAGCAAATTTCTTTATTAAATAATTCACGAATAATTTGTAATTTCTAAAACCTTTAGAAGAATTCTAACGGTTTTTCTTAATTATTAATCTTTGCATTACAAATAAAATGGAAAGCTGGTCATTGAAAAGTTTTAAATGTAAGATGATAAGCTTCCAAATATTAAACAATATGTGCATTACTGATGTATATCTAAATACTGATATATCTTCTGACATATCGACATATGTGCATTACTGATACTAAAATACATTATCTGCATTGCTTTTTTGCATCACTCTGCGTTACTGATTTAATGCTACCTTTCAACATATGTTCATTATTGTTAACTTTTTAAGAGATAGTCGGATTTAAAAAGAAACTATACGAGATATATTTCTTTTGGACCGCTGGTTTTCTAAGATTAATAATGAAACGACTAATTTTGTTGTTTAGGTCTAAATATTGCGGAACAGATATATCTTCTAATAAACTTATTATATCGTCTTCCCTAACTAAAGAAATAGTGCAAAGCAAAGCACAGTAACTCAGTCAGCAATGTGTTTGAACTACGAAGGAAAACCTTTTCCACTCTCTTCTCGACGGAATTGGGTTTTATTTTTTGGGTCACGATGTTCAATATTCATCGATAGTGGGTATTTTCAATTCTTATCGAGGGTCGACATTTTTAGGTATTTATCGAGTTCCAGTATTTATTGAGTGTCGATATTTTTCCGTATTTATCGCGTGTCTATATTCATTGTATTCACGATATACTGTAAGAATATATTTTTAATATCATCATTGCAATGATTGAAATGTATCGATATTTTGCGATATATAGTCCAACTCACAAACAAGAACACGACTTCATTTTTTTTCTGGATTAGATAAATTTTTTTAGTGAGCATTTCTCAAAAGATGGAAAGTAACGTTAACAGCAGCTAGATAAACTGGTTGGCGATCAATTTTTTTGTTTATTATTTTGATCCAAAAATTAATGATTTCCAACTACTAAAAATTAAACTAAAAAGATTCTTTTATTTTATTAAATTTCTACAAATATTATGTATTACGCGCATAAAATAATATGAAATAATGTAATAATTATATATAAAATAATAGATAAAATAGTGTGTATAACAAATATAGTACAGATTTGTCTTCGAATACTTTGTTATAATAGTATTTTTATTTGTAGGAGATTTTTTTTTTACTTCTTCTATTATATCGAGTGTTGTTTTACATTTGAAAGAGATATTTATTGCGATCATTTAAATATAATTAGATAACGATAATGAAAAATATTTCATCTTTAAATAAAATTATTGCAATTTAAATAAATAAATTGTTTAGACATCAAACTTAACGAACAAAACTTTTTGGTACTTAAGCTTACTTTAAGATGAGGTTCGGTATATTAATAGTATACCCGGTATAATTATTACCCGGATGCCCCCTTTAGGGGCGGGACAGGGTTTGGAAATAAATATTAATAGTATACGCTTAGGCTAATAACCCCTTATAATGATTTTCAAATTTTGAAATAAAGCATCAAGCAAGCAGGTTGTGATTTAGGCCATCAGAAAGATATTTAACTACTATATAAATTTTGTTTAAATTCTTAAACTTTAAAGTCTTATTTTTCGGTATTGGCTGAACCGTGTGCCCTGTCAATTTACAGAGGTAAACACATTGGCTACTCATGACTAAGTCTCATCTTGACCATTACTTATTCATCACAATTTCATTTCAACATTTAGAATATACGATAATGAAATTAACGATTTATTTGAATCAAAACTGTTCTTAAAAAAAAGTTCAACAATTATACTATACAACTTCTTTGAAATTTGATTTCTCAGGAGCTATTCGATTTCATCACTTATTAAATTCTGCTTTATAAAATTACAATGAACAGCGTCTGAACTGAAATTATTTCAATTTTTCATTCTCAATTATTCTGTCATTATATAAATGTTTATTATTCAGATTTCTTACCTTCTGCCCTTTTATGACTTATTTAAAAATTGCTGACTTTCTCTAATTATCATCTTTGAAAAGTTCACCGGTTACCCTTTATGATTTCAACAAATATTCAAGAGTTTTAAAAAGGACCAATACTGGAAGAATTTTTTTTTCCTTTGAGGCTCATATTTCTTTCTCTGTTTGAACTTAAATACAAAGATAATCAATAATGGTAGCGGCATTTCCTTAACTATGATAAATTAGATACTGAGAAAATAATTTCAGATGAGGTGTAAAATTCTATTTTTAGTTAAATAAAAATGAACTTATGCTTCCTGTAAGCCAATTTTAAAGCTGTATACTTTACTTTTGCCTCTAAAGTTGGTTGACAAAATGTCTGGGAGAAATAGAACGCATACATATAGTATTTTTCATTAAGTATTCGAAAATAAAGCATCTAATTAACATGTTTTACAAATATTTACTTATTCATTTAGTTATTTATAGACATTTTTTTGTAAAATGCTGTTAGCTTTCAGTGCAATGCGTCTCAAACAGATAGAGATTAGAATGTTATATCTTTAAATATTTACGTTTGGTAAATATGGAAACGTTGTGCATGTCATTTCTTTATGGAAAAACTCAAATTTTTACGACTCTTGGGTGCATTACAGACATAACTTTTCAAAGCGATATGTTAGAATCCATGTTTCTAAACAATAAAGTGGTTATTAAAAAATTTAATTATTACAGCGTTAATCAGTACCACTGTATTGAATTTATAAGAGGCGTGACAACCCTGAAAAAAGAATGGTGTGCTTTTAAAATCTGTTTAAAATACAGTTAAAAATATTATACTGAGAAAAAAGTATGATCAAAACTACCAGAATATGGTAAAATTTACAATATTTTCTGGTACTACGCGAAGACAAAGTACGGTAATTTTTGCTCCAGAGATTTGCTAATTAATTTTGGTAATGACGTTTGGTAAAATGAACACTTGTTTTGGTGTTTGGTAATAGTAAATGAATAAAATTTAGAAATGAAGTTAACGCAAAAACGTAAAAAATTTTGTTTGAATCAAATTACAACGGAAGAAATTTTGATAGTACTTTCATTAAAAAAAACATAAATCGCTTGCCCCTTGTAGTATAATAAAAGCTAAAATTCATTGCATACGGCATCGAAAGCTTATAACTTTTCTTAGTTTTTACCCCAGCTTTATTTCTTTTTTACATTTTGAAAATGTTTTGCCTATTTTATGCATAAACTTCATGAAGTTTTAATTATACCAACTTTTTATCTTTAAAGTGAAGATGCCAGAAGATTAGTGAAATAAAAATGTGCGAAGTTTGAAGTATTAGAAAAAGGACTCTTTCTGTAAGCTTATATACAAATGAGGAAAAAAAGAAAAAAAGGAAGGTTTTTCTTTTTACTGCTACTCTTATAAATATGTTATCTTTTTGCTGTCTTGTATCATATTTAAATTACATCGAATAAATTCATGAAAAAATAACCAAACTTATGTTTCCATAGAAACCATTGCAAACGTGGCCTTTCACTGTTTGATTAACAAAATAAAAATCTTCTACCAGACCGAACATTTCTTAAGAATATGAGAAATAATATCCGCTTGGATTCAGATTAATCTTCTGAAAGAGTAGCTGAATCAATTGAAGAAGTGCAATCGCTGCACTTGAGCGAGCTCCGCAAGAGAGGACCCTTCTTAGTCTTATCTAAACAATTACAAGTGTCGGAGGAAATGTAAAGAAAATAATGGACTATTCCATCTTGCGACGCGGTACATATTTTAATCCTTTCAATCAAGCGATAGAAAAACAT